AAGTCCTTTTTATGGACTGGTTTTGAACACAGATCATCCACATACTTCATTCAAATCCAGCCATCGTTTTTCTTGAGTTTACAGGTAATATATATATTTTCTATTTAGAAGTATAATTAAGTTGTTTACATGTAACGTTAAAATAGTTTATTGTCTTTGCACTTGTGGAAGAATCCTATGAAAGATTTGCTGTTATTGTTATGTTTTATGATGTTTCTTTCAATTACTGTTGTAGCAGGGCCTCCTCCTCTTCTTTGGCCACCTCCCCCTCTTCCTTGGCCACCTTCCCTCTTGGCCACCTCCACTTCTTTCTTGGCCACCTCCCCCTCTTTTCTGGCCACCTCTTCCTGCTCCTCTCCATCCACCTCGTCCCTGCTTCTCATTACCCCTATGTTGTCTCTTTTTCTTCTAACAAAAAGAGATTAAGTTATTGTTGTTTACATTAATGCTCCATCGTTACTTTGAATTTCTTTCCCTTCTCTCTCTCTGTCTCCCCTCCTGTGCCTTCTCCAGTCTCCGTCTCTTCTGTCCCCTCTGTTTTGCTTCCTGCCCCTGTTTCTTCCCCATCATCACTGTCCTTTATTTCTCCTCTCTCCCTCCTTCCTTCTTCTATTAATTCCAGCTGTCCTAATTTACAATCTCATAAAGCCTTTAATTTACTCTTACATAATATTTACTTTTAAGAGCTGGCCGAAACTTTTCCAAGTCTTTTAAGTTAATTAGTGTGAAATTAAAGTACAAGTAATTCAACTATTATTAATTTAATTATCTATGGGCCTTCCGTCTTCTTGCCTAATGTTTGTAAAAAAACTAACCAAAATACAATGCAAAGTTACTTTTTAATACAATGGTCCTTCTTACATCTGCTTGACAGCAAAAATTATTAGATTGCAATCATAAAAGAAAACTTACTTTGGCCGTTTGATTCTAATAAATACAATCTCATTTTCAATGTCAATTTCACCTTTCAACCTTATCATTCTCCTTTGTACTGTCTCCTCTCTCCTCTTTGTCTCTGTCCTTTTTGTTTCTTTCCCCTTTCTCCTCTGTCCTCTCTCTGTCTCCTGTCTTCTCTTTCTCCCTGACTTCTTTTTCTGCTATAAATACAGTTATTTTTTGCTTTTTAATGTACAACACAAACATACAAACAACTTACCAAGTTCATGTACCAAAAAAAGGCATTATAGTTATCACTATAGGGTTACACATTCCCAACTTACCATCAGATGGATGGACCTCAATGAGGACATCGTCTATTGCGGCAGCCATTACT